ACTATAAAAAAGAGGCACCTTCGTGGGTCTAAGGTATGCAGTTTTATGCTTTGAATAGTGAGTTTAGCACTTGATTATCTTTGAGAGATATACTGACTTGATCGTCGGAGTGCCCCCGGGTGGAAGAGCCACCGCCGGAGCCTTTTCTTTCTGTTACAGGTTTGCTGAAGCCATCTATTCTGCCGGTGCTCTCCAGCTGATTACTAGGCGGGCAGTGTGGTCAGAAAATTACCCACACAGTTACTTTGAAAAAAATCAATAAAAGAGCTATGTTCAAGATGGGTTCATTTCATGCAACAAAGAATGGATCTATTGTTACATCCAGTCAATTCACCCAAGTTGAAAAAAAAATTGCCCACCTATTTTAAGTATTGCAAGGTGGTTCTGTAATTAATTTTTTATTTTTATGTTTAAATCAATAGGAGGGAGGACAGTGTTAGAGAATGGGTAGTGACTAGGTTAGCATGAGGATGATGGTGGGGGACGGGGGAAAGGGGGAGTCGAATGGTTGGGGCTAGGATGAGGAACAATTAGGGTGAAGGATTCAACTGGTTGGGGAAGGGGGCAACAGTGGTGGTGATGGCGGCTTGGGTGTCTTTTGGGCATTGGTTCAGTGGCCAGTGTGTTCTGTAGCGTATGGATGAGATATATGGAAGTGGTGTGAGGTGATGGTGGCTGGTGGTTCTTGGTGGCCTGGTGGGCTACCATGGTGAGATGGTGGCTCAGAAAATGCATTAGTGTCCAGCCACAGTAAAGAAATGAGGAAGAATAAAATAATAAAATTGGGTGAGATGAGTAGTGGTGCAGAGTGCCTAAGTGGTCTAATTTTAGAGAGAGAGAGAGAGAGAGAGAGAGAGAGAGAGAGAGAGTTGCAATGTTATGGCATAGAAATGAAAATTAAAGAAAAAAGTAAGGGTAGTATTGACATTGCCTAAGTGGTCTAAGCATATTGAATGATGATCGGTTAGAGAGTGTAAACACGTGGTACTTCGAAAATATTGAATAATTTCCCGACTAAAAGGGGTTATATGTATATTTTTAAACTTGGAGAGTTTATGTATTTTTGAGTTAAATCACAAGGAGTTAAAATATAATTAATCCTTTTATTTAACATTTGAATTGAAAAAAGAAAATGTAAAAAATTAAGAAACATCAATGACACCAAATAAAGAAGACATACCAAGAGTTTTGATGCATTATCAAGGCCTACTGATTTTTAGAACCAGTACCTTTCAATTCTTTTGTTGCACATATATACAAATTACAAACAAAGAATTGAGTCTGTTTTTGAAAATATTAAAAACGGGAAAGCAAAAAAAATTCAAGAATTAGATTAAGGAAGAAATGTGCACTTAAAGTAATAAGAGTATTAAAAATACCAGGTTCATAAATGATTTGCGACATTGTCATACTATATACCATTATATTGCTCTTCGTTTTTATAATTCTCCACTCAATATGAAAAATCCCAAAATTCAAATAAAACCCCAATTTGAATACCAATTTCAACCTCTACAAGCTTCTTCAAGATGGTGCAATGGTCTTATTGAAAAGAATTGGTCACACATATACATCATTGCCTAAAGTGAAGTTAAATCGCATAAGACAAAATTCAAAAGGCCACCCTACAAACAGAAAGCATATTATTTGCCATGATACTTGCATTATAAATATGCCATATATTTACAATTAAATAAAAAGAACTAACGAGACACTTTGGATGGAATTAAAGACAAACAAATTGGATAGGAAAAAATTAAAGGAGACAAACAACAATTCATCAAAAACCTAGCATGAGCTACCACATGTGATAGCTTTGCTGCATAAAGAGCACCAATTGGGAAAATGTTACATAGTATATTTGTTGTTGTATGGTATTTGGAAAATGTTATATTGTTGTAATTGAGAAGGAGGAGGAAAAAAAAAGTGGAAACAGACAAGAACTAAACTACCTAAGGGATTTATAAGATTTCAGTGGTATATTTGTTCAGTCTACAATACAAAATAAATTTACTAAAAGTAGCCCTCACTCATATAGCCTGGGCCAATCATAAAACCAAGTACTCTTAGCGTAAGAAATGAATTTATTTCAACATTATTGCAAATATGCTGTTTTTTTTTTTTTTCATCAAATAGGCAAAGGAATTGCAATTTTGGAGTGTGTACAGACATATTCACAATCGCTCTTAATGAATAAGCATCTCTACTCGACCTTTCTAAGAAAATTTAAAAACGAGTTAGTCAATGTCCACAATTTTTTTTCCTTCACCAAAATTATTTCAAATAACCTTACAAATCAAACATGGAGAGGTAATCTGAATGGATATGAATATTTGCAAATGAATAGAACATTACAGAACATGAAAATTAAACCCTACAAATCCACACATTTATGATAAATTGATAATAGATTTGTAATACATATTTTTGTGTTTTAGCAGATGAGGAATGGATTCTCAACCAGAAAGCACCAAACTTAAAGCCCAAAAAAACAAACTGTATGAAAGCCCAACAAGCTGAAATATAGAATTCATTACGCAAGACCATATAGCAATTTGAAGGAGTGCTTCATACCTTTATTCGAAGATAAATTCTTGAAGTATATCTAAATGGTAAAGCAGCAGACCTCTGAACAAGATGATTAATCAAACCTACCTAACAGCCATAAACAAATAAGTATTTAAAACAATTCAAAATAAAACAGAGGCTTTCAACGACTAAACAACATAGCAAAGGTTTAACACTCTTGATGGCTTTACAACCCTAACCCTTTATTTCCCCAAAACAACAATAATTATTAACAAAAAACAAAAGGATAAGAAAATAAGAGTTCATACATGAAAACAAAGTATATTGCTATAAAGAAAATAAGAACAAAAAGAGTACATCAAGCTTATATGAATGAAAAATGTAAGAAACAAATGCATCATTAAATCAAATCAAATGCAACCACCCAAATGAAATTCATAAATTGGTAAGAAACCACCAAAACTCCAAAAAAATATGGGAACTAAGGGTACCAAGCTAGGCCAGTACTAAACCACAAAACACCTACACATGAAAAGATAACTAACACCCAAGCACCAGTAAAGCCAACCTTGCCATTGTTGGAACAATTCGTCTTGAATTCTTTAGTTGGTGGTCTTCAGGTCTTCAAAACTTGGCGCTGAACTTGTCTATGTAGAACAGAAATTTGATGCTTCAAGTCTGTTTTGAAAGACTGAAAGGCAAAGAGAGATGAGTTTATAGAGAGAGTTTGAAGAGCATGGGTCTCTCTTCTATAGAGAGTGGGTGGGTGGGTGAGACCGATGAGGATACGTGGGTGAGTTTGAAGTGTGGCTCTTGGGCCGGAAGTTGAGGATGAGTGAGAGAGAATGTTTCATCTCTACTGTCCATCTTGAAGAAGAAATAAATCATGACTGTTAAAATGTCTTAATTGGACAATTATCTCTAGGATAAATTCAAAAATCCTCTTTCCATATTATATAGATATTAGATAGAAAAATCATTTACACAACGAACTACAATCATGTGCCGACTTTACTAAAGACCATCGACTTTTTGAATCGAAATAAAAAATAAAAAAAAGACGATCGACTTTGTATACAATAAGAAAATTAAAATATCTACTAGTAAAACATGTCATCTATTACTGTTGTTGAATTCCAATTTGAATTGGACATTTATCACCCCTTGGGAATGAGTACAAATTGCAATACTAAGATTTCGTCTCGGAAGATGAGTTGGTTGATTTTGAAATTATTTTAGTTAAAAAAAGATAAAATAAATTTTTTAGTTTAATAAGATAAAATATCACATATAACTTATAATCATTACATCATTTCTCTTCAAAAAAAAAATTAAAAAAATTAAAAAATCTTTTTCAAACGAAACTTTTAAATCTTAAACTAAAATAATTAAAAAATCAAAAATCAAAAATCAAAAAGCTCTAGTGACTGCTGCGAAAGGCGTGATGAAATGAGTTAGGTGGACCATCCCTTTGTGCTATCTACTCTCACCATCTATTGTAGCAAACCCACGCTATGATTCTATGAATCATCCGCCACAAATCATATTCCTCAAAATCCAGTTTGTACTATTTTAGAAGATTAAGTTTCAAGATTAATTTTTATGTAGCAAACCCACGCTAGTATATTTATGTTAAGTTTCAAGATTCACTTTTTAGAAGATTAATTTTTTTTTATTTTTTATTTTTATATACATTTAACATAAATATACTTAAAAAATATAATATTTATCTAAAATTTTTAAAAATTCACTAAATACCAAAAATATATAAAAAAAAATTATGAGAATTTGATACATTTTCATATTTTTGGGTATTTGTTTATTTTTCACAAATAATTTACTTTTTAGATACATCTAAGTAAGATACATCTAAAAAAATAAAAATAAAAAAATATGAAAAATAAAAATTCAATTTAAAAAAAATTGAAACCAAACATAATGTTTTAATATATCGATATATAATAAGGGAAGAAGGTTTTTGAAAATGTATAAAATGTGTGTGAGATACATTTCAATTCAATGGCTAAGATTAATTCCAAATTTATATCAAAGGTTCAGATGAATAGATCTCCCGCCCAAGACTTCTCTCCACCTACCCACGTCTGCCTCCCCACCTTCCCTTTCTATCTCTCTCTCCCTCTCTCTCTCTGTTCATGAATACATCTCTCTTTCACAGATATATCTCTCTCTTCCTCCTATCTCTTTCATACGCTACTCTCTCTTCTCTTGCGATGACCACCGACCACCTCTCCTCTCCCTCGCTGGAGACCCAAACTCGAACCCTCTATTCCTGTCTTCCTCCCTTCATCTCCCGCTCCTTCATCCCCCTTCCCCATTTTAGGCCTTTGTTTTGCAACAAACCCATACCTTTTTCGATTCAGTGAGAGGAGAGAAAGAGGAGGGCATCGTCGTCCCGCCCCGCCGACGCCGACGCCCTACCCCGCCGTCCCCGACAAGAAGGTTCGAAATACATGAGGTAAATCTAGATTCAGTTTATTAGATTTCTAGATTCAGTTTATTAGATTTCTTAGACATGGATTTCTTATGCTACTACTATTATCAGATTCAATCTACTACTATTATCTTTTAATTACTATTATCTTGATTAGGAATCTAATAAATCAGATTGGATTTCTTATGCTACTACGCTAGATAGGATTTCTTAGATTCACGGTTCAGTAATTAAAAGATTTCTTAGATTCATAACCTGATTTATTAGATTCACAACTCCAAGACATGGATTTCTTATGCTACTACTATTATCTTTTAATTTATAGATTCTGTATAGTTCATTCCGCAGTTTACTTCCCTTGCCTGGGAAGTGGGTTCAATCTGTGACTACTATTATTATGGCTTATCATGATAGTAGCATAATAAGCTGTGAAATGATAGTGGGTTCAATCTGTGGAATGATAATAGTGGGTTCAATCTGTGACTACTATAATAGTAGTAGCTAAAACAAAGCATAATAATAGTAGCATCAAAGAAGATAGAGAGCATAAAAAATGGCTTATCAAAGATTCATCACTACAACCAATTTGAATCATAATAATAAAATTTATAAATTCTTCATTGATCAATTAAGGCCGAAATACAATTGATGTGTATAGTTCATTCCACAATTTACTTCCCTTGCCTGCAGTTCTAGAGGCTAGAGAGCATCAGCTTGATTATCACTTTTGAAAGTGTTTTATGTTAGAGCCTTGTTTTGACCTCTATTATACATTAACTCAAGTATCGCTTAGATTGTTCTGATTGCCAAACTTTTGATTGTGCTTTATGACAATTTTTTTCTTCTGATCTTAGTTTAAAACAGTTTGTCCTAATTTCTATACTGACATTTGTTTTTTTTTTTGAACAAGGTGTACTGACTTTAATTTGTGTGTATTAGATAATTAAATGTGTTATACATAGATATATATTGGTTTCTAGGTGTGGATTTGGAATGGGTGTTAGTGTCATACTCTAAAGATTTGTTCGGATCATATTTTCATGAACTGAATGATTTATATTATAGGATTCGTTGAGTACATCATTTGCATAAAAAATCAAGTAAATGGACAAAATAATGGACAAAAAATCAAGTAAATGGACAAAAAATCAAGTAATTGATCAAACTCCACTTTTTAAAAAAATAAAAGTTGTGAAGTAGTTTTTTTCAATTAACTTTTATTAGAACCAAAAAAAGAAAGGAAAGAAAAGATTTACAAAATTGTAAAATCTTAATGTAAACCACAATAACTTGCTATTTTTAATGGACAAAATAACTTGGGGGACCCCATGAAAGCTTTACTTACAGACTGCAAATCTAATTTATGAAAAAACAAAACGAACAATATAAGATTGACATTTACAATTTTTAGTCATGATTTCTTCCTATGTGGGTGAATGTCAGTTGTGTGTACCCTATGAAGAGCAGTTTCAATTTCTGATATATGCTACCAACAAAATATCTCCTTAGTTTTTTTAAAAATTAAATTAATGTTTATGTATTGCATTGTAGGGATCTCTCTTTCAACAACCTTACCAGTGATCTTCCCAGTTCGTTTATTGCATTGACCAATATTTCTACTCTGTGAGTGTAATGAAGTGCTAATTTATAGTTGATATTTTATTTTTGGGGTTCAGTTCAGTTTTTTTGAACTTCTGCTGGTTTCTTGATTTTTGGCAGTCATGTGCAAAACAACCAATTAACTGGCTCTCTTAATGTTCTGGCCAATTTACCTTTGACAGATTTGTAAGTTCATTCCCTAATTCTAGGCCTTGAATTTTATATTTCTCACCGCCCCTATTATTCTCATGCCTTGAATTTTCCATAGAAATGTTGCAAACAACCATTTCAGCGGGTGGATACCAAGAGAGCTTATTTCTATCCCTAGATTTATGTAAGTGATGCATGCAATATAATATCATGCCTGTTTGTGTTATATTTTAGGACTTCTCCAATATGTCTAATCTAGCATTTTAAATAAACAGATATGATGGAAATTCATTTGATAATGGTCCTGCTCCTCCTTCACCACCATATACCTCGCCTCCCCCAGGTAGAGCACATAATAATCGAAGTCATTCTCCTCCAGGGGCAGATTCACCACAGGGATCTGGTGGTCAATCGTCCAATCCAGACAATGGAAATAAAAAGGCACTAGCAGCTGGTCTGATTATAGGCATAGCTCTAGGTTCTTCGTTGGTGGTCTTCTTTGCAATGCTTGTGATTGTGTTTTGCCTCCGAAAGGGTAAAAGGAAGGAACCCACTGCTCCTAGAACTTCTTCAGGAAGTCTCCCTGTTAGCACAGATAAAGGTATGTCCTTTTCCCGATTAAAAGAAAGAAAGAAAGGCTGAGACCTTCTTTGGTTAGTTCTTTTTATTAATTTGTTTATATCAAAAGTTCTTTCTATTTATTTAATATCATAATTAACTTTAGGTTCAGTGTTTGAAATGTCTTCCAATTGTTTGGAAATTTAATGATAGCAACTTATTCCTTTTTGAAGTCTTTACACATATTATAACATCAGTTTTTGCTTCTGAATTATTCAGTTGTACATTGTTCTAGATGTTCATATCAAGGTATAAATGTCCTAAAAGTATGATGCCATTTATAATACTGATTAAGCTATCTTTTAATACCCTCCTACTTTCTAAGCCATTTTGTCTTTTAAATGTTCCATTCTTGATCTGAATCTATCCACTCCAAAGTCGCATGCTCACTCACACCCTCATTGACACCAATCTACTTAGGCCAGCCTCCATTTCGTGGTCATGGGTATTGTTAGATACCTTCTTCAAGATCAAGTTCATGGTCATATGCCTAGGCCGCTTATTGTTAGAAAGTAGATTGTTGATGTCCACCAATAGTTGTTGAAAGTTTAACTAATACCATTGGAAGGATTAATGACAGAATTTCATGATTGGGCACATGACAAAAATGCTTTGTCATTCTAGAAGGAAAATAGAAAAAGAAAAAAAAGAAACAACAATATGTTGGAAGAATCATGTGTACCCTAAAAGTTGTTAGACGGTGTCTTGAATGTGATTGATTTATATTGTGGGGTCTATCATATTTATGTTGGTGTGTTGCTTAACAATATGGAAAGTAATAGTTGGTGATTGATGTGGGACAGCACATGGCCATGCCACGTGATAACCTATTGTACCCAATTTTTTTCCCTCCAATAGGGAAATTGTTATATGCAGAAAGGGTACCACGTGGTATTGTCATGTAATATTCTAAACCAATCACCAAATGCCCTTCCTTCATGTTGATAAGCAAACACTAACATAAATATAATAGACCCTCCATGTAAACCAAGCGCAACAGTGAGCACTATGTGAGAATACCCTTTTGCTTATCCAATAACTCTTCCAATAGAGATGCTATATGCGATAATAAATGGTGATACATCTTTTATAATTCGTAAAAGATCTCAGATTGTTTAGATTGAAAACATGCAAATAGTTTAAATTGAAAATAAATCAGAAATTTAATATTTAAATTTATAAAATTAAAAACTCAATAGTTTATTTTGTTACAAGTATTAAATTCTAAGTTTTTTTTTTTTGGTTAATTTTTCTTAAATTTTAATGATACTTACAATTATTCAAACAAAATTGGCTTATGTGTGGTGGCAGCATACACTGTTTTTAATATATTCATGTTCCCCATGATTAATTAAATGTTGAGGATGCATTAAATTAATTAATTAATTGACATTATACGTAGAAATTATAACTACATTTTAATCCCAACATTATTTACACCGAACATTATTTACGCTGTGCCTTCAGGCACGGGCATACGCTAGTATATAATAAAGCAGAACGGATTTTGAAAATATGTAAAATGTATCAAAGATACATTTCATTTTAAGGGCTCAGATCAATTGTGATACACATCAATGGTTGAGATTATGCTTCAATTCCCGCCCAAACACTCTGTGCTCTTTCCCGCTTACCCACGTCTCCTCCCCCATTCCATCTTTATCTCCTCTCTGTTGCACGTCTCCCTTATCTCTATCTCCCTCTTTGTTCTTCTTCTTTATCTATCCCACAGACGCTACCTCTTTCCTTCTCTCTCACCCGATCTCTGCCTCTCCCCCTCTCCCCCCACCCTCTCACTCGCTGCCTCTCCCCCTCCACCCGATCTCTACCTCTCCCCCTCCACCCGATCTCTACCTCTCCCCCTCCACCCGATCTCTACCTCTCCCCCTCCACCCGATCTCTACCTCTCCCCCCTTTCGCAACCCTCCCACTCGCTTTCTGAAGGCTAGGGTTTCCGATTAAGAACCATCGTCGTCTTCTCTTTCTTTCACGCCGTGGTTGTGCAATCAGGTAATCATAAATTGTTTTCATTTTAATTTTGATTTAGTTTATTGTGTATGATCTTTCCATTTTACTTTTTGTTTGAACCCTTTACTAATTTTACATAATATATATATTTGCAATTTGTTCTTCAAGACTCAATCTTTTGCACCCCCTCTCCCCTTTTTCACAACCCTCCCACTCGCTTTCTGAAGGCTAGGGTTTCCGATTAAGAACCGCCACCATCTTCTCTTTCTTTCACACCATGGTTGTGCAATCAGGTAATCATAAATTGTTTTCATTTTAATTTTGATTTAGTTTTATTGTGTATGATCTTTCCATTTTACTCTTTGTTTGAACCCTTTACTAATTTTATTTAATTTATATATTTGCAATTTGTTCTTCAAGACTCAATCTTTTGTTTGTAAAGGTTTTATCTGATCGGAATTTGGATTTGAATTCATCTGCAATCTATGATTTTGTCGATGAAAGTGGCATTCTTGAATTTATTTATTTATTTAATTTTGTTGTTTTGATTATCAATTTGATTCATTTTGTAGTTTCTTGCATTGGTTTGAGTGTAGACCATTCAAGTTGGTGTGTCCAAACACGTTGACTCCTCTGCAACAACAGATATTTGTGATCATCGGTCAGAATATATTGTTTCTGTCCATACCTCATCATTTTTTTTCTTCTGTATTTTGATTTTAGTTTCACAATTTGAAACTATAGCATTTGTTTGAGTCTCATCTCTACGTTCATTTCATTTCATCTCAACTATCTCTCTCAATTACAATTTGTTATTTTGATTTTAAAATTTTCAATACTTATGTTTCTTATGCCTGTACATTTTTGGTTTCCCATATTGAATTGTATTAGTAGTTTTAAATTCTTTTTTTTATTTTTTCCTGGATTGATTATTTTGATTTTGTTAGTGTGATGATTCAACGACAATCAGTGTTCTGAGGGGCCATTTGGTAATAAATTTTTTTAGTGATTTTACAAAAACAAACTTCTCTCAGAAGGTAAATTCTTTTAATTTTTTATTTGAACTCTTTTGGATTTAATTTTTTTCTTTTCAATAGAGGTGACTGTAATATTCAAATAGGGGCCTTCGATTCCTCTAGACAATCACAAACCTTTGCCAGTTTTAAAGAGTTGCAACCTCTTTCAATAATCTCTATGATGGCTATAGAAAAATTGTCACTCACTTTTCCAATTTATTCGATTTTCGCTAATTCTTCCTGCATATATTCTGCATTCTAAGTTTCCGGGAGTACATAACATAGTTTTTGTGCAATCAAATTTATATGTGCACAAATTCGACTACGGAGGTGGTCATGTTGATCCTAACAAAGCCATAAATCCCGGTCTCATATACAACATGAAAGTCACAGACTATGTCAAATTTCTTCGCTCCATGGGCTATAATGACACTGCCATCAGCTCAATAACCAGGGATAGCAGCCCATGCCAAAGAACACCGAACTTCCTTTTAAACCTTAATCTGTCATCTATCTCTATTCCAGAGCTGAAGCATACTGTGACAGTGTCAATAACAGTCACAAACGTTGGTCCGATATTATCTTTCTATGTTGCTCGCGTTGAAGCTCCCCCGGGCATAAATGTGACAGTTGAGCCCTCGATTTTGTTTTTCAATTTTACGATAGAGATGCTCAAGTTCAAGGTAACATTTTGCTCTCAACAAAGAGTTTAAGGAAGATATACATTTAGAAATCTGTATTGGGAAGATGGTTTACATGTAGTAAGCATACTATTGATAGTTTGACCTGTTATTGAATATTTTTATTCTGAAACATGATCACAGGCAATATCATTTTCTTTTTTCTTTTTTTCTTCTTTTTCCTTTTTCATATTATTAGCCTGTAGTTTTTATAAGAAAAATAACATTGATTTGAGTTCATTTTGCAAAGCAATAAAATGCTATAATTGCTAAGCAGAAGATGGAAAAGCCGATGATGCCATGATCGGGACTTACCAGATTGTTTGTCGTAGTTTCTACTGTAAAAACTGTGATTTATGTGTGCGCGCACACGTTTGAGATGTTCCTATCTGCTCAAACAATCTTTGTATGTTGGAATAAGGTTGCAATTTTTATCATATTCCAGGTTATGTATTTCCTTTTACCTTTTCACATACTGGTAATCGTCTCTTTACTTATAGGCTTTTATTTTTATTTTTCTTCTTCTTCTTCTTCTTTTATTTCTATTTTTATTTTTTATTTTTTATATTAAAAAAAATGGGATTCGTGCATTTTAATCTTAATATTATTTAAAGTTTGGTAGGCTTATATGCCACCAAACTGGGTTCCATTTTTTTTAAAAAAAAATTTGGTGGGTTTGGATCCGGATCAACATTCTTTATGTGTTTATAGATTTTTAAATTGAATGTCTAAATCTAGGGAATCACTATCCTCAATTGGGATAGTAATCCCATTAAATATTTTATCATACACTTGAGCCACACCAAATCACAGAAATATCCACGAATCCCATATTGATTTATGGGTGGAAAATTGGTGGGTTTGGTGTTCTCCACCCGTAAATCACAATACCGGCCCGAAATGGAGTACTTGGGTTATGTGTAAAATTGTGGATACTTTTCTCAAGGTTTCAAATATTTTTCCGAGTATCACTGTAATTTTCCCAACATGAGAGTTAGGCTACATTACACTACCCAAAAAAATAAAATTGAATAATTTGAGATGTTCTAATTTGTTCAAATCTGTTTAAATAGTGTTGGGATTAAATTTAAATTTAAATAGTGTTGGGATTAAATTTAAATAATGTTGGGATTAAATTTAAATTTAAATAGTGTTGGGATTAAATTTAAACAGTGTAGGATTAAATTTAAATTTAAATAGTGTTGGGATTAAATTTAAATTTAAATAGTGTGGGGGTTAAATTTAAATTTAAATAGTGTTGGGATTAAATTTATGATAAATTTAAATAGTATTAGGATTAAATAGTGTTGGGATTAAATTTAATTTTATCAAATTAAAAAATAAATTTAAATAGTGTTGGGATTAAATTTTATATTAAATTTGTAATTTTATCAAATTAAAAAATAAATTTAAGTAGTGTTGGGATTACTTGAAGAACCGACCCGATCAGCAGAATACGATGGGGGCGGTTTCGACCACTCGGCTGTGGTTGAGATTGATGAATTTAATTCTTATTTCGGATAAATATTGAATTTAATATATAAAAAACCATATAATCAACCCAATCAACTTATTC